AAAATCTTGGTCCAGGGAGAGGAGGTGCCATCACAGCAATCGATCAAGCTCTCAGACCCCAAGTCATACCACATTTCGCACGTCATCGAAACAACGTTTTCCAGCATGACAACGCTCGTGCCCACACCGCCAGAGTTACTTGGGACTTTCTACAGCAGAACGGTGTCAACGTTATGCACTGGCCAGCCCTTAGTCCGGACTTAAACCTGATTGAACATCTTTGGGAAGAAATTCTGTGGAGACTTAATAACGTCGCACCGAGACCAAACACAGCCGATGAATTGTGCCAGGCTTTTCTGAGAGTGTGGTTCCAGGTGCCAATGGCGTTCATCAATCGTTTGGTCCACTCCATGTACAGACGCTGCTTGCTGTTATTGACACTTGCGGTGGACACACCAGATACTGATGTATAGACTGTACTCTATACCTTCTCGTAATGTCTTGGAATTGTGATGAATTAATCACTAATGTGTCAACATACTGTTCACAAAAAATTGCTTTGATCCATATAGTAAGTCGTTTTCAAGAATGATTTGATTAAATTGCCTCTCTGATTTTGAAATCGTACTGACATTTTTTATTTTTTTTTGCTGTTTAGACATTAATTAACTTATCCAGACCATAATCATCGCTAGCCTGCGATGTTTATTGGATTAGGTTCCAATTTGCTGTTTGACTTCCATTCATAATTTAATTATTAAATGGATAATCAAGACTATGTGTTATATCCTACTGACTTTAGTAAGGATGATTGAAGCTAGGCGGAAAATTCAATTGCTAAAATCTTTGTTCATAGTGGATCAATTTGACTGAAATTTTCAGCAAATTCCCTTTACAGTATCTAGTTTTTAACTATTATAGTGAGAACTGCCAGCTCTTTATCTAATCTCCCATAATGTATCTTTAAGGAGAGCGATTAGTTATGTGCATGGGAAATGGGGGTCATTTCTGGTTTCATAAATGATAATAAACCCCCAATGAGTATGTAAAGGAGAGCGATTTTCAGTTTTAAGGGGAAGGAAAAAACCTCCCCTCCATCGACATTCAGGTGAGCGGCAGGTGCTCGAGAGCGATGGCTCGCCTTAAAAAACAATGACTGCTAATCGGTAGTCTTATGTATGAAACCATTGTACAACAGTCCGAAATATCAGGAGTAGGAGAACAAAAGGGATCGAAAACGGCGTATTTCATAGTTAAGAGAAACATGCAGTAAGAGTGGATAAAATCTGTACGTATTGGCAACGTATAGAGTGCTTTTTTCTTTCACAGTGACGATATTTGAACTAAGAGTGTTTTACTGTTAACCAAAATATGGAATTAGCTCTTCTACAGTGAAAATACGTCAGTGGTGCAGAACGGAGGGCCTGACAAGGACAGCTGTCTAGTCCTTCGGATTAGATGAAAACCCGAGGTCCCGTGTACGTATTGGAATGCACGTAAAAGATCCCTTGGCAGTTGGAATTCGATATAAGAGTAGGCGATAGTGCCGCTGCCTGGGCAAAATTTCCCTCATAGCACACTGTATGGTGTATGCCCGTCTTCATTAGCCCAGTATACGAGCAGAACAGTAGGATGTTAAACCCCATTTTATTTCATTTCCTTTCAGTGAAAATACGTCATTTTAGTAAGTAACAGTTTGCCCTGAAATTAAGGTGCCTGTTTTTTTGGGGGGTTTTGTTTGTTTTTTTGGGTTTTTTCTTCAATGACATATCACTTAAAACCAGTGTATAAAAAGCTCTCCATTGAAGCTGTTTAAAATTGTCTGCTATATCACCAGTTAATATACAGTGACAATATTTGATGTATACTAATGTCCAAAATAAAGTATACACACTTAAAATAGGACTAAGTTTTGTTTAGATTAAAAACATTTGATAAAACATTACTGAGTTTGTCCCTTGCGTCCAAACTCAACATTTCTAACCTCTCAAAAAAAGGGAAACAATGGAAAAACAACTTTGGTTGATGCAGCACAAAATGCACAGTGTATACTTTCTTTTGGACATTATAGTATATATAGAGAATCTCCTACCAGTCTTTTTTGATATCAAAAAATATCAACACAAGTTGATAAAGTAACAAAAAACGAGGCTCTGCAGAGTAGGAGATTTGATTTATCACCCAATCCCTTCTTACATGCACAAATAGATAAATATAATTCTTTGCTGTAGATTTCACTTTTACTGAACATTACGGCGTAGTGATACATCATTTTTTGACAGCAATTCAACCATTGCAAAGTCCTTTATATTGACCCACTTTTTCCATCAAGGTCAATTAAAAAAAAATAGTTCATTTTTAATAAAAAAAAAAAGGGGGGGGTTACTTTTAATAAGAAATGAACTGTTCTTTGAAAATGAAAAAAAGTAGTTCCTTTTCAACTGACCAATCAAATTCATGTAAAGCGATATCTCCGAGGGAGATATCGCAGTAGATTATGAAATATATCACACAAGCGATATCTACTGTAGAATGTATTATTGGGTGATAAAAGTGTTTTACTGTTAACCAAAATATGGGGTTGCTGATTCTAGAGTGAAAATACGTCATTTTAGCCAGTAACAGTTTCCCCCGAAATTAATATCCTCGTTTTTCTCACAGGCACTTGAAGGGATTAAGAATAAAACTTCTTACTACTGCTTGACTATATACTAGGGTGTAACGGTGATATAATATTACGGTTTTTCAAATCGGATAAAAATTATGACCTCTATAGGGTCCACAAGCTAAAAACGTGATTTTTCGTACAATCAGGGGCCATAATTCAGGAAGTTACGGTCGGTCCGATATGCGCGAATATCGAAATGAACCGAGATCTTTGGGTTATAAACTTGCATTTCAGTTTCATCAAAATAGGATTAAAATTATGACCTCTATAGGGTCCACAAGCTAAAAACGTGATTTTTCGTACAAACAGGGGCCATAATCCATGAAGTTTCGATCCGATACATGCCAATATCGAAAGCAACCGAGATCTTTTGGAGATAAACCTATATTTCAAGTTTCGTCAAAATCGGATAAGAATTGTGACCTGTAGAGTGTCCACTAACAAATTGTGGACGGACAGGGGCGACGACAATAATTTATTATACGTCCACATGAAAATGTGGGCGTATAAAAACGAAAATTGCCTATAGAGAAGGCTTTTTCCATGGTTAGCCAATAACTATTTTCTTAAATTTTTATATAAGGCTAGCACATGAAACTCGCTCGATATTTTTGTCGCATTGGGGAGACATGAGGTATTCAGAGCAAAACATGTTAAATGATCTTTTTTTTTCAACTATATTAATGAAGTCGATCACCAGCGTTTCATCCGAAGGGTGACCGACTTCATTCTGGTGATGGAACTGCATCTCCTTCTCGGCGTAGTCAACCGTCGGTATGATCACCTAGATGCAGTATGAACTCTTGTTAACAACGTATGGCGGACTTGTTTCAGCAACAAGTTGGATAGTGGTTACAAACAAGCGGTAAAGTCTTTTGAAAGTTCATATCATGAGCTAGGAATTCCAGTGACGAGCAAAAGTTCATGCTATATTTGACCATATCGACCGGTTTGTGGAGAGATGAACACCTGAACCAAATCGCGATACCGGACTTTCGCACTTTATTTAATCTGGACTGCTTCATGCTACAACGGATTATCTATGAAAACATCCAAACCAGTATTGATGAGACTTTATTTGTTTGGCTTATTATTGCCAAGTTAATTTTCGAATAAACTTAGCTCATCTACACTGAGAACGTTTTGCTCCACATTCAAGAAATGTTAGGTTTGACATTTTACATGGATTACTGCGTATGCAGGCCGCAATTCCGAATGGATCAGCTTGGAACTTGGCAAATGTCTTCCTTATAGCCTAAGGGCGGCAGTTATTGATTTCGGTGCAAGTCCCGACCCCCAGGGGCAGAGCCACGCCCAATTTGTGTTTTGCGCCCAAAGGCCACAGTTCTGAATGGATTATCTTGGAACTAGGTATACATATTATACCTTATATCCTAAGGACGGCAACTATTGATTTTGGTGCATGACCCCCCCCCCCCCCCTCTTGGGCTTTGCCGCACCCACTTTTTGTTATTATTTTGTCTGTAAATGATATATAGTCTGGTCCATCATAGGATTGTACGTATTTATATTAGTCCATGTCCAACCCCCAGGTTCCGGTGTAGTTTCCCCTTGTCAGTGATACAGGACGGGGGGTCTGGCAAGGACAGCTGTCTAGTCGTTCGGGTGGGACGAAAAACCGAGGCCCCGTGTACACATTGGCGTGCACATAAAAGATCCCTTGGAAGTTAGAATTCGATATAAGAGTAGGCCGTAGCACCACTGCCCGGGAAAAATGTCCCTCATAGCACACTGTATGGCATATGCCCGTCTTCATTAGCCCAGTTTAGGAGGAGAACAGTAGGACGTTAAACCCCATTTCATTTCATTTCCAACCCCCAGGGGAAGTGCCACGACCTATCTTGGTGTTTTTGTTGGGTTTTTTTGTCTACAGGCTGGAATTCAGAATAGATCATCTTGGAACGTGGTACTTCACTACTTGGCATATTTATTCCGGTAAGGACAGCAACTATTTGTTTTGGTAAATACTCTACAAGTTTCTATAATTAACAGATTTTTTTCAAATTTAGCATATCAATCATTTCAATAACAGGGTGGTACCTATTTATATTGTTCCAAATCCAACCCCCAGGGGCAGAGCCATGCCCAATTTTTGTATAATTTATCATAGGCTGCAGTTCCGAATGGATCATCTTGGAACTTTCACTTTGCATATTATTCCTTATACCGTAAACACAGTAATTATTTATTTTGTTTCATGCCCCGATCCCCCTGGGGCAGTGTCACTCCCACTTTTTTTGTTAATATTTGCATCGAGATTTTACTTTAAATGGTGATATTAGAATTTTAAAATGTGTCTTCTTTCCTCAAACTCGCTATCTTAGAATATCGAGTTGTGCCCCTTCTATCTATTTCAACCAATCATCTTCTTTGAAATAATTTTGCTCGTAAATATAAATAAACAAATATGGCCGAAGAAAGTAAGTAAATTCGCGGTTTTATAAATAACATCAAATATTTCCAATTTTTTAAAGATTTATTGATAATATTTTATATAAAGATCAACAGTAGAAGTAAAACTTTAATAAGAACAGTGCTAGTTTCCCGCAAAATTAGTTTTAAGCCAAGAATTTATACACCAAACAGATACCGACATGAATAAACAAGTTTGTTGTTTCGCGTTTACATTAGGCCTAGGCCCTAGATCTAATTATTAATTACATTTTGGGGATTCGATTTAGATATTTTATAGTAATTTTTTAAAAGCCTGGGTGGGAAGGTGACGGGGTGCAAATTGTGTACATATCTGACAGAAAAATATGGGGAAATCTTTTCAAAACTGCTAAATGTTGGTATACCACTCCACTGCTGTCTTTAAAAATAAAATGAGTTTAAAACCGAGAATTACTTAGTCCTTCTTAATGACTAGCCTAATCTGCCCAGAAATGAATGGTCAATTCCGGCGCAGTTTAGATGTGGTGTTTTACCCCTTCGTGTTGAGACAGGGCGGTTTATAGGTGAAAAGCTCGAAGATCGAACCTGCCAAATGTGTGCACATAACTCAGAATAACTGTACAGAAGATGAAAAACTTTTTATTTTAAACTGTTCCTTATATAGCGATCTGCGACAATACTGGTTTTATGAAGCGATATCAGATTTACAATTCTCACAAATGCAAGATAATGATAAATTAATATACCTCATGAACAATATTAGCGTCGATGTGCTAAATTTTTGACTCGAGCTTACCTAAGGCGTAGAAACAAACTTTTCAATTGAAATTAGAAGGAATGCCCAGAGCTCGAAGAGACATTACTGATCATTTGTATGAATTCTTATTATATTAGACTTAATTTGTAACTAATATGAAAATAAGGCTTTTCCCCCATATCGGTTCTAAGGCTATTTTGGAATCCTTACCGTCTATTTTTCACCGTGATTCTTCTTTGTTCACCAAAAGATATCATTTCTTGCCACATCCAACGCAAATTTATAATCCAACACTATTTTCATGTAGAATTGTGCGGTGATCAAGAAGAAACGGCCAATGACATTACGGCTTTCACAAAATCAGTAGTGTTACTATTTTAATGCAAAGAAACCATTTCCAGGCATATAGAACAAACTTAAAATGACCAAATAAGTTTCAGTCTTGTCAGTCGGGGAGATATTCGTATCCACACTACTATGGAAACAAACAGACTGCTAGTGAGTGTACTGTTAAATACCATCTAATTTGTTTAAAACTGAAAGATTCCCCTCTTCCAACTTTATTTCCAACTTTAATTGAATAGAAAAATTAGAGACATATTTAGCCAGAATTGTTATAGACATTATTCTAGTTGTCGCCGGCGACCAGTAGATTTTATTTCTACTTGTCATTTGAAAATGTTACTTGGATTCGACAAGTACAGACAAGCGTTATTTCGACCCCTGCTCATATTACATTAATATGGGCTTTTAGAACCATTTTGGTCTATTTCATGGTTCCAAAAAATAGGGCCATATGCCCTTTAAACATACGCAGCCCAATCTTGTGAAACAATTTTCGTTTATCTGCGAATATATAATTGCCAATAAAATGAATCAGGCGTTGTTTTTATCCAAATTGACACGGACATTCATAATTACAGTGCATTAGTTCTGTGCAACTGTTATCAGGTTAGTACTTTGATTTACTGCTGTACACGACATAAAAATTAGGACCGCCTTCATCTTCATCATGACGTAAAGATGTCAAAATGTTGGGCAAAGCTAGCTGTCATTGCTTTGATTTAAAAGAGGTGGTTTGTACACGTACCCATGTCAGGTAGGATTATAATATAAATTATATGCTTAATTGTCCCCCGCCTTTCGAAGAAAGCAGGGGACTATTATAATGGGTTCGTCCATCTTTCTTTCTGTACATAGACACACTAAATCTCCTTCTAATTGAGCTAGAAAGTATGTTCAAACTTGGTGTAGGTGTTTATAGTGATGTACGTATGTATAACATGGTAACTGGAATTTTGTATTAAGACCCCCCACTCTCTCTCTCTCTCTCTCTCTCTGAAAGAGAGGACTTACTACATTTTTTGTATAGATACACAGAATTCTGGATTAATCATTGTAATATAGAGTTTGGTACCATCCAAATTTGATCATTTGTCAAGGTTAAGTAAATGTCTTATTATTTATAGTAAGCTGGCTTATATAGTGTGCCAGGTTTATCTTGGCATCGTTTCTGTTTATGTTAATAAGTCACATGATATCCTACAAATGTGAAGGACAAATGAGATGTGGCAGGGAGCAAATGTAAAATGTAATGAGTGAAATGTAAAATATTGACCCATTAAAAAACAGCATTTTCCAATAGAACATTTATCATTTGACACATTACATTTGACATTTGTCCCCCGCCTTTCGAAGAAAGCAGGGGACTATTAAAATGGGTTCGTCCGTCTGTCTGTCGGTCCGTCAGTCTGTCCGTCACACTTTTTGGGACACAGTAACTCTCTTTCTAATTGAGCTAGAATGTTCAAACTTGGTGTAGGTGTTTATTAGGTCAATACCTTGATGGAGTTCAAAGATGAGCATTTTCCGCTTAGGGTAAGCGGAGATAAGCAATTTGACATCAGCCTCACTGTTGGCTTGTTTACATTTAAATTTGGCCTTAGAGGTATTTTGACTTTATCGTTACCGGTATAAAAACTTTGAATATTGTACTTTTTGCATATAATCAATCGAAAAAATATTTTAGCAGAGCATTTAATATTGGCAGCAATTAGCAATACCCTTCAATTACAGTAGAAGTCACAATTTTTACACAAATCGTGTAAAACTAAAAGTAGCCTATGTAAATACCAAGGTTGTGGAAGTCAAAATTTTTATCCGATCTTGATGAAACTTGATGAAATGTATGTTTAAAACCCAAAGATTTAGATATTCGTGCATAGGACTGTAACTTCCTGAATTATGGCCCTGGTATGAAAAATCACGTTTTTAGCTTGTGGTCTCTCTAGAGGTCACTGTTTTTATCCGATTTAAAAAAAAAACTTTTAAAAATATCACCGTTACACCCTAATGAAGGTTAAGTTCGAATTTCGTGAAAATCGTACCGAAACTGCCCGATAAAATGGCTGCTCCCTGTACGCAAATAGTGTAAAAGTATGTAATACCAAGGTTGTGGACCCTCTAGAAGTAAAATTTTTATCTGATTTTGGTGAAACTTAAAATGTATGTTTATATCCAAAAGATCTTGGTTCCTTTCGATATTCGTATAGATCGGATCGTAACTTCCTGGATTATGGCCCCTGATTTTATGTCCGTGTTTTGCAAAATGTGAGCGTATCTTGCATGGCAACTGTTTGTTTAGCATTTCCATGGATACCAAACAAACCAAGGTCTACAGGCAAATAGTGACAGTAGATCAGTAAAGTTAATCAAGCTATGTTTTTATCATAGTTGATATGGACATTCATAATTACAGTGCATTAGTCATGCACAACTCGTTAAGGTTCTCTATTTTGATTGGCTGTTGTATACAACATATATTTAACCCCTCCTTCATGAGGAAGACATCAAACCTATTTTGTTTTAAAATGTCAGGCAAAGCCAGCCAACCAGCTATTATCGCTTGGATTTGAAAGATATGATTTGTACCCGTGTCAGGTAGGATTATATCCCCGGTTGTACGTGACAAGGAGTAGGGTCGCCTGTCCAACCTCGTGGGTTTTCTCCGGGTCCTCTGGTTTCCTCCCACTGCTAAAGACCCCTATGCGCAAGCGATTTATTAAAATAAAATTAAACCATATGTTAGTCCCAAAATGACCTAGTTTTTGTCGAGTGGACGTTAAAACCCCATCTCTCTCTCTCTCTCTTTCTCTCTCTCTCTTAATTTGTAGTTGGATGTGGCAGAAATGTAATAAATAACAATCAACAAGAACATCAATATTGAATGTATTGATTGAAACGGACCAATATTGAATTCTAATTTGTGTTTTTCATTGAATATTATGAATCTCATTGAGTTAGCGCTACATGTATACAACCTTTGATATAAGATGTATATGAGAGAGAGAAATGGGGTTTAACGTTCCCTCAACACAAACTATGTCATTTCGGGACTAACACATGGGTCAATTTTATTTCAATAATTTGCTTGCACGTAGGGGTCTTTAGTAGTGGAAGGAAACCGGAGGACTTGGAGAAAACCCACAAGGTTAGACAGGTGACCCTACTCCTTGTTACGTATAACCGGTGATTCGAAACCACGCCAGTTGACTCAATGACAGACCTTATGATACAGCGCGCACGTGCTAACCATTCGATACTTGAAGTTGATAAATCGCCTGTGTGCATGCGTCACTGGGACAGCAAATAGGTATCATCTTTCTTTTTTCTCTCTTTTTTTTTAATATAGGCCCATTTAATGTAAAGTGGTGCAAAATGACCATAAATTATAAATTACAATAATTTTATAAAAATCTATTCTAATTTTAATGTTTAGTTCTGTGAAATTTGTTTTTAAACTTCTAAGTGAATAATAGACACAATGGACAGACAATGAAAACTGTAACTTACGTTGCATACACGTAAGTTCCCCAAAAACACTAAAAGTATCACAAATTAGTTTTTAACTACGGTAGTTTTAATTCAATAAAATAAATCTGATTTAAAATTTTGATAATTTTCATCATTAAATTAGAAGGAACAAGTGAATAATTTTGAAACATATGGTAGGCCTACTGGCTAATGCAATGCTTCAACTGTCCTTTGATACCAGTAGCTTCCAGAAAGCAAAAAGTTCTTTTATTGACTTTCTGTTTTCATTGATATCTTTTTGTCCCATACATACATGTAATAAATAACATTAATTACACATCAGGAAGTGCATTATTGGCTTCAACAGAAAAATCAGATTCAGATTGTGCAATGATAAGCAGCCCCTCCCCCTCCCCTTTACCAGCATTCTCCCCACTCCACTGCAAGAAGTAGCAAGGTTTTTCAACACTATAGTAAGTGCAGGGGGACTGCACCACACATAATTTACACAAAAACAAATATACGGACAAGACATATTATGCAGAACTCACAAACACACAATTCAAATAAAGTGAATGGACCCGGGGGCTAACTGTAAGCGTCCACTGTGCTGTACAGTCCCGGGCCTGTAGTGACACAGACTTCACTCAAATTTGAAAACAATCAGGAATAAAACCCAGCGAAACCATTGTGTAATGCCAGCATGAGTCATAATCTGCTATATGTTACAAGAAATATGAATGTAAGCATATTGTAGTAAAATTTAACTATACAAGTAACCACATAGGTGAAATGTATATAAAAAAAACAAAAACAGGTAGTCTAAAACTAAATGTTCTAAGGCAATTAAAAAACGTTTTTGTATTCAATAGAATAGAGGCATATTGAACACAGAAGGTAAATGTTCCACGCATCACAAAAACAGAGCAAAAAGCAAACAATACTGAATACAAAGAAGCAAACGAGAAAATGTTGACCGTCTTGAAAGACAGTCGTCTGCTGACTGAATGACGTAGGTTGTCAATGACGTCAGAATTTTTAGAAAGAGACAAAAACACCACAATAAAAAGGGAGATAATCCAGATAAAGTAACGCCAAAAGGTTAATAAACTATCAGTTTTGCAACTAATCGGAATTATTAAGTTATGTAATTGCACAAAATATAATACTTAATATACCACACAAGAAATGCAAAACAGGTACATGTATGCTGAAGAATTGTACTATGTAAGTGTATTTATAAAGGCATAACTTACTACTTCAAAACCAGATTTGTCTGTTTTGTCGAAAATACTGACATTAAATTTATTGTTAATTATGTTAATGTCCAGGTTAAGAACAGACGCATTTATTATGCCAGAATTTTCTTTATTTAATATTAATTCTGGAGGATATATTTCACTTTTATATTTGTTGAAATTTCGGTTGTCATTGATGGGTGTTATGTCATCAATGTATCAGAATGTATAGTTTAGACTTTTAGCTACCTTGTAATCTGTTTTTCGTTTATGATCCTGAAAGCAGAATTCATATTAAAATAAATGTGCTTTTGACATAAATGTGGCGGGGTCAGTTCCCATTGGTAAACCAATATTTTGCTGTATTATCTGATCCCCAACCTCACTGCAAAATATATCTGTTTTTAAATTCAGCAGATGGTCCATCAGAATAAATAATGAGTTTGGGTATTTACTTGTAGGGTCAATTTATCATTTGAGACATTATGGATTTTTTTGATTTTTTTATATTTTTTTAATAAATACTTTTGATATTGTCGAAAGTCATTAAATATTAGTTGCATAAGATCTAGCTTCATCATAAAAGGTTGAATAGTATCAGCAATGATTTAGTTATAAAAATTATTTTGATTTACCCCCTACCGATCAGATACATACATGTATTGACATCACCAGCAATGATGAATGAAATGGTGATTGTTGAAGTTAATGTGTAAATGAAGAAATGTAAATAATTATACTATTTACCGGTAACAACATATAGTACCATTCTACAATACCGGTATCGATGTTTCTAAGTAACAGAATACTGAATGTCTCAATTTTTGAAAAAGTGATAAATGAAGTCTAGCCTTTAGATTATTGTGTTGGTGCCAAAAATGCACAAAATTGTAAATTGTTTGTTATATTATTATACATATATCAGAAGAAGATAAAAAAAAGAAAAAAAAATCAGCAGTGACATTATGTGGCAGTCGCTGAACTCTCATCTGGAAATTGCTTGTGTACATACACCAATCGCTTTTTGCGTCAAAAAGCATGTGCATCAGTACTTGCGTATGCAGTTGTGCATGTATTGCTTGTTACACGATTTCCTATAAAATAAGTGTTGTCTTTATTTTTTTTTAACTTGAAAAATGTTATGTAACAGAAGTAGAAATATAGGGGTGTTTTGTCCTGTGACCTGTGACCTCATAGTTTTGATACAAACTGAATTTGAATGTCCCAGTTATATTGGTACCGTAACTAAACTAAGTCATGTTAAAAGTATATTGCATACAACTGGCCACAAATATCACCAAAAGGCTAGTGCTTATTTAAATTAAAATCTAACTGTTTTATCCAATAGCTGATGGAGTTGTAAAACCAAAACCTAGAAAGTCTAGAACAAAGTCATCAAAATTGAAGGATGAAGAAATAATTTGTAAGACATAATTCTTTTTTACAACATCATATTCATAATCAGTTTCACCGTTGATACATGTATCTATTATACCTCAGGACGTAACATACATGTAGAGGTCATTCTGATGAGGCAATGACTTTCGTTTACTAGTCCACTTGTTTTGTAAAGTCACCCTGTCTAATTATTATAAAGAGATAAGCTTATTAATTTATAGTGAATATTAATTTTAAAGCATAAGATAAGCTATGATCAAGAAAACTGTGTCCTAGATGGTTGTCTGGTTATTATCATGTGGTTGTAATATTTAAAATGCTATGTTTACAGCTGATGTTACTGCTAATGGTTCTAGACTAAGTGTAGATGAAATTCTTCAGCAAGCTGTACAGAAATCAAACAAGTAAGTGTATATTCTAATATTGACTTACAGAAGAACACACCAGGCAATAAGCTCAATGAGTTTTTTAATTTTGAATTTTTTTATTTGCATTTTTATTCTATTTTTATGTTTACATTATTACTGTTTACTAATTTTTTTTCTTTTCCATTTTCAGAGATTCTTCAACAGACAAAAAGAAGAGGAAGAAGAAAAGCAAACATCATGATGGGGATATCGAAATGGTAAATACAAAATATTATTTAGTCTGTAGGGGAAAAAAAAAATTAATATTAAGAATTATATTGAATTTATGGAGCGGCTATCACCATACAATCGTGTAATGGACACCGGATTCAAGTTAATAACTTATGTTATATTGTTTTAGTTAGAATATTTGAGAAAGGGAGAAGAAATTGAGAGTTTACAAAAAGATAAAGACACAGCCATCCTTGCCAACACATACGAACCGGATAATAGCCCTAAAAATGAAAAGAGCAACAGAAGAAGGCAGAAACATAGAGAAAGCAAAAGCAAGTTTATTCTTAGTTTATTCTTGGCTAGAGTTTTGATTGATTGATAGGGATTGATTACTTAATAAGAATGATTTGTATCAGAATTCCTAGTTATGCAGCGATTTTACACAATAGTTATGCCAACGCTTCAAAACTTGTAAAAGTCAGTTTGGGAGATGTCAGTGTCTCATAAACAAGGTTAATGCTGAACAGGCCAGTGTTTTTATACGCCCACATTTTTATATGGATGTACCATGCCGTCTCCCCTGCTTGTCCGTCCGTCCAACACTCTACAGGTCACAATTTTTATCTGATTTCAATGAAACTTAAAATATAGGTTTATCTACCTAAGATCTTGGTTCCTTTCGATATTGGCATGTATCGGACCATAACTTCATAGATAATGGCCCCTGATTGTACGAAATATCACGTTTTTAGCTTGTGGACCCTATAGAGGTCACAATTTTTATCCGATTTTGTTGAAACTGGAAATGTAAGTTTATAACCCAAAGATCTCAGTTCCTTTTGATATTCGCGCATATCGGACAGTAACTTCCTGAATTATGGCCCCTGATTGTACGAATAATCGCGTTTTTAGCTTGTGGACCCCATAGAGGTCATAATTTTTATCCGATTTAAAAAAAAAAACGTTTGGATATATCACCGTTACACCTTAAGGATGGTAGGGTGACCCACCATAAATAAATATCTCCATATATCTCCATATATCTCGACAATTACGCCACAATATTTATATATATGCCAACCCTCAAATCAGTTTCACACAATTATAGTCACTAAATAAACGATCATGTTGTACTTAATAAGCTATGACCATTAATCATCTATAAATAATAGACTGAAAACTGGTTCCAAGTGTCGTCCATAACATCCAGACACTTTTGAGTAAAAGATAGGTTATGTTTCTTGTTTTGAAATTAGTCTCGCTTAACCAGTCTATCGCCCATTCTACGTCTGATTGACAGGTCGGGATAATCAAGACTACTTTTTACGAAACATAACAGAAAGCTAGAACAAAAAATTGGATTTAGAAATAAGCACGTTAGGTAGCTCAACAATCGTTTTAAGAACCTTGTAAAAGTAAAATGAAACTACTGCTAGTATCATGTTCCTGTCTAACCCGAGTGATTCAGAGATATTATTTGTACTAAACCAAAAGATGCCGCTCTTAACGGTACAGTTAATGATAAAGCGATTTAAAAACTGAAACGAACGTAATTTCTAAATCTGCTGTAATAACCAAGAAGCTTAATTTCACTGCTATTCAAAATCTTCAACAATAATTTTTTTACGGCTGTAATAGTTGATAGATTTGTAGAGAATTGCACGTGCCATGGCTAATTATAGTATCATACTGTCAGAAAGTTGGTCTCGGCGCGGCGATTGTGCACGCTTCAGTGGTAGTCTCGAACTATCAGCGGTGGACTGTATTTCTGTAGAGTACATGGGTCACCCTAAGGATGGACCAAAACTGACAGACAAGATGGCCGCCACTCGTCACAATTAGTATCCATTTAAAAAAATGTTCAAATATATCACCGTTACACTGTAATTTTGGTTGAGTTTGAATTTCGTGAAAATCGGACGCAAATTGGCGGACAAAATGGCCGCCCCTTGTACACAATTAATCTAAACATCTTGTATATCAAAGTTGTGGACCCTCTCGAGGTCACAATTTTGATCTGATTTTGATGAAACTTGAAATGCATGTTTATAACCCAAAGATCTTGGATCCTTTCGATATTCGGGCATATCGGATGTTAACTTCCTGCATTATGGCCCCTGATTGTATGAAAAATCATGTTTTTAGCTTGTGGGCCCTCTAGAGGTCACAATTATTATCCAATTTATCACCATTACACCGTAATGTTTATTGAGATTGAATTTTGTGAAAATCGGGCCGAAATTGCCGGACAAAATGGCCGCCCCTCATACGCAATACAAATTACAATCATGTAGTGTATAACATCTGGTATATCAAGGTTGTGGACCCTCTAGAGGTTACAATTTTGATCTGATTTTGATGAAACTTGAAATACATGTTTATAACCCAAAGATCTTGGTTCCTTTTGATATTCGTGCATATTGGATCGTAACTTCCTGAATTATGGCCCCTAATTGTACCAAAAATCGCGTTTTAAGCTTGTGGTCCCTGTAGAGGTCACAATTTTTATCCGATTTAAAAAAAAATAAGGTCTTGGTTCCTTTTGATAATCGCGCATATCCGAACATAACTTCCTGGATTATGGCTCCCGACTGTTCGAAAAATCACATTTTTAGCTTGCACATTTTTTTTTTCCGATTTTGAAAACCGTTTAAATATATTACCATTCCACCATAATGAAGGTTGAATTCGAATTTCGGGAAAATCGAAATGAAACTGCCTGACAAAATGGCCGCTCTTTGTACGCAAATTGTGTAAAAGTATGCAATATGAAGGTTGTGGACCTATAGAGGTCACAATTTTTATCTGATTTTGATGAAACTTAAAACACATCTTTATATCCCAAAGATCTCAGTCCCTTTGATATTTGCACATATCAGACCATAACTTTCTGGATTATTGCTCCTGATTGTACAAAAAATCTCGGTTTTTTTTTTAGCTTGTTCTCTATCAATCTCTTGCAAAATGTGGGCGTATCCTGTCGGGCAGCCGCTGGTTTTTGGTTGGATTATCCAGCAAATCCTAAGGAAGAACACTATTAAAATTCAGAATTGTGCAACAATTATCACAGAGTTAATGCCACTGTCACAGAAACCTTGTAGACGCAAATCAGAGGGTTTTTCTTTTTTCAAACTGAATGAGATTGTTTGGCTAATCAAAAATTCAGACCCACTCCACTATCAATTTTATGCATAACTATTGTCCCTGGCTCTGAAAACCTCCCTTTAAAAAAATAGTTTGCATACATATGTTGTCTGGTAATGGCTTATATAATTATTTCCCCTCACCTTTATTTTAGGTGGTACAGATAACTTGGCCTTTGATAAAGATAGCAACATACAAATTATAGAGGAAACAATTATCAAGAAAAAGAAAACCAAGAAGAAAATTATCAAAGATGGAAGTGAATTAGAAAAGTAAGTATGGCCATATTTTTCCTATTGCTGGTGTGTGTGTGCGATGAGGAGTAGGGTTGCCTGCCTAAGCTCAAGAGATTTCTCTGGGTACTACAGTTTCCCCCCATTTTAAAAAAACCTTGTTCTAGAGTAAAATTGACATTAAACACCATTTGTCTCGTTCTCATTACGCATTATTTCAATATTTGCTCTATGAAAAAGGAATTTGAGTCGCGCAAATTTGATTTCATATTTTCAGGGTTATTGTCAAGGTCTAAAACAGAGTAAAATGACACAACCATATCCATGGGGCAGCCACCTTCAATCAGATGATGGTCTGGACATTCCGCGTTCGGTGCTAATACATTGATCAAACGACTGACATATAAGTGGACATCTACAAATAAAATAGACAGTATTAGTTTTTATACGCTTACATTTTCATGTGGACGTTTATTGTTGTCACCTCTGTCCGTCCGTCCACAATTGTTTGTGGACACTCTACAGGTCACAATTTTTATCCGATTTCAACGAACCTTGAAATATAGGTTTATCTCCCTACGATCTCCGTTCCTTTCGATATTGGCATGTATCGGACGGTAACTTCATGGATTATGGCCCCTGATTGTTCGAAAAATCACGTTTTAAGCTTGTGGACCCTATGGAGGTCACAATTTTAAACCGATTTTGATGAAACATGAAATGCATGTTTATAACCCAAAGATCTTGATTCCTTTCGATATTTGCGCATATCAGATCGTAACTTCCTGAATTATGGACCCTGATTGTACGAAAAATCGCCTTTTTTGCTTGTGGTCCCTCTGGAGGTCACAATTATTATCCAATTTAAAAAAACGGTTGATTATATCACCATTACACCGTAAGGAAGGTTGAGGTTGAATTTCGTGAAAATCGGACCAAAAGTCCCAGACAAAATGCCACTGCTTGCACGCGAATAGTGTAAAAATATGGTATATCAAAATTGTGGACCCTGTAGATGTCACAGTTTTAATCCTATTTTGATGAAACTTGAAATGCATGTTTATAACCCAAAGATCTTGAATCCTTTCGATATTTACGCATATCGGATCGTAACATCCTAAATTATGGCCCCTGATTATACGAAAAATCGCCTTTTTTGCTTTTGGTCCGTCCCTCTGGAGGTCACAATTATTTTAAAAACCATTTGATTATATCACCATTACACCGTAATGAAGGTTGACATCAAATTTCATGAAAATCGGACCATAACTGCCGGACAAAATGGCCGCCACTTGTATACGAATAGTGTAAAATATGGTATATCAAGGTTGTGGACCCTGTAGAGGTCACAATTTCGATCCGATTTTGATGGAACTTGAAATACATGTTTATAACCCAAAGATCTTGGTTACTGTTGATATTCGCGCATATCTGATCGTAACATCCTGAATTATGGCCCTGGATTGTACGAAAAGTCGCGTTTTTAGCTTGTGGTCCCTCTATAGAGGTCACAATTTTTATCCGATTGAAAAAAAAAGTTTGAAAATTTCAACGTTAAACCATAATGACGGCTGAGATAGAATTTCGTGAAAATAAGACCAAAACTGCCGGACAAAATGACTTCCCCTCATACGCAAATAGTAAATATATGGTATATCAAGGTTGTGGACCCTCTAGAAGTCACAATGTTGATCCGATTTTGATGAAACTTGAAATATATCTTTATAACCCAAAGATCTTGGTTTCTGTCGATATTCGCGCATATCGAATCTAACTTCCTGAATTATGACCCTGGATTGTTCGAAAAATCGCTTTTTGTTTAGCTTGTTCTCTGTCCATTCTTGCAAAATGTGAGCGTATTCTGCCTGGCAGCCTTTGGTTTCTTAGTATCATTTATCACAGTATGTTATTTCCACTATTTAAATTGTATCTTTTTATAGAGAATCATCAAAAATAATAACATTGTCAAATGCGCAAGATTTAAAATCACCAACCGTTGATGTTATATCAACTGCTGAAGGTATTATTTCACCAACCAGCCCAGAAGTTAAGAAAAAAACTAAGAAAAAGAAAAAAAAGGAAGAGTCAGAAGATGAAATCATGTAAAATTTATTTTTTGAACAATGCAGATTTATTCATTTACTAAAATCAATATTGTGCATGCATATGCATTATGTAAGATTAACATAAATTACTTCATTCTGAGAGAAGTTATTACTGTTTGGAAAATAGCGGAGTCTCGATTGTCAATTCTACCATTGTTGCGAAAGTAAACAAAATCTTGATCACCCGTTGTTACGATAATAAACAAAATCTTGATCATCCATCTTTGTAAATATGCCCATATTTTCATGTGGACGGTGTTGATGTATAATGTCATCGTCCCTGTCCGTCCGTGTGTCCGTTCACATTTGTATATCTACGGGTCACAATTTTTATCCGATTTTGATGGCACTGAAAATGTATGTTTAAATCCAAAAGATCTCGGGTCCTTTTGATATTGACATGTATTGGACCGTAATCATGGCCCACTGATTGTACGAAAAATGGCTGCTCCCCTTACGCAAAAACCTATATATTGTCCAGAAAGGTCTACTGAAACTTTGTCACCAGAGTGAAAAATATTAATGCTAGCCATGTTGAAATATAAACTAGATAAAAGTAGTTCTTTTTGAATTGACCAATAAAATTCATGTTAAATTTATCACACAAGCGATATCTACTGTAGAATGTGTTATTGGGTGATAATACCATATGTCTGCATATTTGATTAAATTACTGAAATCAGATTGGTCATTATCAACTAAACTAAGAATATATCTTTATAGTAAATTCTGATATCAATGCCATCTTGGTTATTCATGTATTTTATTTCCCTACTTCAATCTGATCTATGAAATGAAATGAAATGGGGTTTAACGTCCTACTGTTCTGCTCCGACCTGGGCTAATGAAGATGGCCAATCTGATCTGTAAATTTGTGTGTATCCACTGTAATTTATACTCGCCATGAAAGCCCTATTCACTAATAAAGTGTTTGTGTGTGAGACCACAGCCAGATCAACTTGTTTCCTCTGTTTTGAATGAAATAGCTTTAAATCAGTGGTATCCTTAATAAATATTATATTCCAACATAATAATCAATAAATGAGTTAAATATTTATTTTAGTGAATCTCCAGCAGAAGTTGTTGAATCTGTCACAGAACTGATGGGAGCACAACCAGAAAAAAAGAAAAAAAAGAAAAAGAAACCTGTAGCTATTGATTCAGAAGATACTGTAGTTCAGCAGAATAATGAAATCGCACAAGAGGTAAAATAACAATGTCAAAAATAATGACGCATGAAAACTTTTCAAATTAAATTCATATTTCATGTTTTTAGACGCCCACATTTTCATGTGGACATATATTGTCGTCGCCCCTGTCCGTTCAGACATCCATTCGATCACATTTTGTTTGTGGACACTCTACAGGTCATAATTTTTATCCGATTTTTATGAAACTTGAAATGTAGATTTATATCCAAAAGACCTTGGTTCCTTTCGATATTGGCATGTATCGGACCATAACTTCATGGATTATGGCTCCCTGATTGTTTGAAAAATCTCGTTTTAGCTTGTTGACACTCTAGAGGTTACAATTTTATTTTAATCCAATTTTGATGAAACTTAAAATGTATGTTTATAACCCACAGATCTTGCTTCGTTCCTTTCGATATTGCCGCATATCAGACTGTAGCTTCCTGGATTATAGCTCTTGATTGAACAAAATATCGCGTCTTTAGGTTATGGACCCGCTAGAGGTCACAATTTTTATACGCCCTCATTGAAATGTGGTCGTATATTGTCGTCCGTCCGTCGGTCGGGCGTCCACAAGCAATTGTGGACGCTCTAGAGGATAAAGTTAATATCCGATTGACTTTAAATTTATACACAGTGTTTAAGGTCATGAGACAAAGAATCCTATTGATTTTCAGCGATTTCCGATAATTACTTTAAATTTATACACAGTGCTTAATGTTAGGAGACGAAGTTTATTCATTTTCAGCGATTTTCAATAATTGTTGCCAGAGTTATGGCCCTTGATCACTTCAAAAAATCTTGTAAATGATCTAGAGGCTAAACTTAATATCCGATTGAGTTTAAATTTATACACAGTGTTTAAGGTCATGAGACAAAGAAGTTTATTCATTTTCAGCATTTTCGATAATTGCTGCCAGAGTTATGGCCCTTGATCACTTCAAAAAATCTTGTAATTGCTCTAGAGGCTAAAGTTTATATCCGATTGACTTTAACACTATACGACTGGTACCGTGGAATCTCGGGTAAATAGCGTTATTATCTAATCTATGTAGAATTATTCATAAATATCATTGAATTTGGCCTAATAGCATTCAATTTGTTCTTGTATACAACTTAAATCTCAACGTGCAATTTTGATTACCAAGTGTTAATTGACTAGTGTTTAGTTTGTCGACACGTGTGTAATTATAAGCGTCCCGTTTAATTTTGACGACTGTTCAATAATTAGTTGGACCGTTCAATTTCCCGAGTTGTGATTAAAATTAGTCAAGGTGTCCAATTACGTATACGCCAGGTATTCAATTCTGTTGCCGAACATCCAATTTCACATGCGTTGCTCAGATTTTAACGAAATGTTTATATTGAAGGAGTTGTAATATAGTAATGCTGCCGTGAAAACGTGTACATGTATAATATACAGGCCGGTTTGAATAACAACAAAATGAGTTCGGTAATCTCGGTAAAACATTTACCGGCATTCTGTATCGGTTAGGATTTTTTTCTAACGCACTGTACATGCATATAACGTCGGCCAAAATGTATGCAACAATGAACAACTTACAATTTTTTTACAACGTATCATTACATCTTCGTCTATAACTTAGATGTAATCCATCAATTATTGGCTGCTATAAAATCCAAACTTTAAATTATATACGTCATATGATGAGCTTGCAGCTTCAGTTAATCTAAATCAATCATTCATAGAGCACTCGATCCACTCCACGGGGCGCTTAACGGTAAGTCACATGATCAGAAACGCGCCAATATTTACAGTGCATGTACAGTGCGTTAGAAAAAAATCCTAACCGATACAGAATGCCGGTAAATGTTTTACCGAGATTACCGAACTCATTTTGTTGTTATTCAAACCGGCCTGTACATTATACATGTACACGTTTTCACGGCAGCATTACTATATTACAACTCCTTCAATATAAACATTTCGTTAAAATCTGAACAACGCATGTGAAATTGGATGTTCGGCAACAGAATTGAATACCTGGCGTATACGTAATTGGACACCTTGACTAATTTTTATCACAACTCGGGAAATTGAACGGTCCAACTAATTATTGAACAGTCGTCAAAATTAAGCGGGACGCTTATAATTACACACGTGTCGACAAACTAAACACTAGTCAATTAACGCTTGGTAATCAAAATTGCACGTTGAGATTTAAGTTGTATACAAGGACAAATTGAATGCTATTAGGCCAAATTCAATGATATTTATGAATAATTCTACATAGATTAGATAATAACGCTATTTACCCGAGATTCCACGGTACCAGTCGTATAGTGTAAATTGATACAGAGTGTTTGAGGTCATGAGACGAAGAATCATATTGATAATTACTGCCAAAGTTATGGCCCTTGATCACATTAAAAAGTCTTGTGACCCCCTAGAAGCTAAAGTTATCATCCGATTGACTTCAGATTCATACACAGAGTTTAAGGTCTTGAGACGAACAAGTATATTGATTTTCATTGAATTTTTATGACTTGCACAGCTAAATCCATGATTTTAAAAGTTTCATATACTAAACGTTAGCATGGGCAAAACTTTATAAAAACCAAACAAATTCTAATTGGTTTCTGATAATTACTTAATGAGTTACTCTTAATCAGATTTTAATGTATTATAAATGTTTCATTACCGAAAAAAGTAAAAATATGTGACATCTCTTGTTGACTGCCCGGACGATTTAGCTCCTGTGGGCGTATGTTTCGTTGCCTGGCAACCTATCTTTATTTGATGTAAAACCAGCGACTGCCAGGCAGGATAGGGAAAATACTAAACAAAAAGTGCTTTTTCATACAATTAAGGGCCATAATTCAGGAAGTTATGATCCGATATGCGTGAATATCAACTGGAACCAAGATCTTTGGGTTATAAAGATACATTTCAAATTTCATCAAAATCGAATCAAAATTGTGACTTCTAGAGGGTCTACAACCTTGATGATATACCATATATTTACACCATTTGCGTACAAGGAGCGTCCATTTTGTCCGGCAGTTTTAGTGGGTAAGACGGTGGCTCGCTAGCCTGGAGGTCGGGTGTTCGATCCCTGCATTGGCCGAGAAAGTTCATCCAGATTTTCCGGCGTGGTTTCCCCTTGTCAGTGATGCAGGATGGAGGGCCTGACAAGGCGACTGTCTAGTCGTTCGGATGGGATGAAAAACTGAGGTCCCGTGTACACATTGGCGTGCACGTAAAAGATCCCTTGGCAGTTGGAATTCGATTTAAGAGTAGGCGATAGTGCCGCTGCCCGGGCAAAATTTCCCTCATAGCACACTGTATGGCGTATGCCCGTCTTCATTAGCCCAGGTTAGGAGCAGAACAGTAGGACGTTAAACCCCATTTCATTTCATTTCATTACATTTTTCAATCGGGTAAAAAATGGGACATCTAGAGAGACCACAAGCTAACAACACGATTTCCATACAATCAAGTGCCAAAAATTTAGGAAGTTAAGATCTGGTATGCACGAATATCAAAAGGAACCAAGATCTGTGGGTTATAAAGATGTATTTCAAGTTAAATCAAAATTGTGGCCTCTAGAGGGTTCACAATCTTGATATACAATCTATTTGCGTATGAGGGGTGGCCATTTTGTACGGCAGTTTTGGTCCGATTTTCACGAAATTTGAACTCAGCCATCATTAGGGTTTAACGGTGATCTATTCAAACATATTTTTTTTTGAATCGGATAAAAATGTGATTTTACGTACAATCAAGGGCCATAATTCAGGAAGTGATGATCTGATATGCGCAAATATTGAAAGGAACCAAGATCTTTGGGTAATAAATATGCTTCATCAAAATCGGATTAAAATTGTGGCCTCTAGAGGGTCCACAACCTTGATATACCATATTTTTACACTATTTGCCTATGAGGGGTGGCCATTGTGTCTGGCAGTTTTAGTCCGATTTTCACAAAATTCAAACTCAAGCATCATTACTGTGTAATGGTGATATATTCAAACGTTTTTATATGCCCACATTTTCATGTGGACGTATATTGTCGTCGCCCCATGTCCGTCCGGACGTCCATCTGTCCACAATTGTTTGTGAATAGTCTACAGGTCACAATTTTTATCCGATTTCAATTAAACTTGAAATATAGGTTTATCACCCTAAGATCTTGGTTCCTGTCGATATTGGCATGTATCGGACTGTAAATTCATGGATTATGGCCCTTGATTGTACGAAAAATCATGTTTTTAGCTTGTGAACACTGTAGAGGTCACAATTTATATACGCCTACATTTTCATGTGGAGGTATATTGTCTTCGCCACAATTGTTTGTGGACACTCTACAGGTCACAATTCTTATCCGATTTTGATGAAACTTGACATATAGGTTTATCTCCAAAAGATCTCGGCATGTATCGGATCGAAATTTCATGGATTATGGCCCCTGTTTGTACGAAAAATCACGTTTTTAGCTTGTGGACCCTATAGAGGTCACAATTTAAAATGTAAGTTTATAACTCACAGATCTCGGTTCCTTTCGATATTCGCGCATATCAGTCCGTAACTTCCTGAATTATGGCCCCTGATTGTACGAAAAATCGCGTTTTTAGCCTGTGGACCCTATAGAGGTCATAATTTTTATCCGATTTAAAAAAACGTATCATTATATCACCGTTAATCCTAAGGACGGCTGAGTTTGAATTTCGTGAAAATCGGCCCAAAACTGACAGACAAAATGGCCGCCCTTCGTTCTCAAATAGTGTAAAAATATGATATATCAAGGTTGTGGACCCTATGCAGGTCACAATTTTTATCCGATTTTGTTGAAACTTGAAATGTAAGTTTATAACACAAAGATCTCGGTTCCTTTCGATATTTGCGCATATAAAATTGTAATATCCTGAATTATGGCCCTTGATTGTAGGAAAAATCACTTTCTTTTAAGCTTGTTCTCTATCCATCTCTCGAAAATGTGGGCGTATCCTGTCTGGCAGCCGCTGGTTTTAAATCGGATAATAATTGTGACCTCTACAGGGACCACAAGCTAAAAACGCGATGTTTCGTACAATCAGGGGCCATACTTCAGGAAGTTCCGATTCATCAAAATCAGATGAAAATTGTGACCTCTAGATGGTCTACAAGCTAAAAACGTGATTTTTGAAACAATCAGTGGCCATAACCCATGAAGTTGTTTTCCGATTTATGCCAATATCGAAAGGAACCAAGATCTTTGGGAGATAGACCTATATTTTAAGTTTCGTCAAAATCGAATAAAAATTGTGACCTGTAGATTGTCCAGAAACAAATTGTGGACGGACAGGGGCGACAACAATATATGTCCACAGGAAAATGTGGGCATATAAAAATGTTTTAAAATATCACTGTTATGTTACACCATGACAGTTGAGTTCAAATTTCATGAAAATCTGACTAAAACTGCCCAACAAAATGGCTGCTTCCCATATGCAAATAGTATAAAAGTATGTAATACTAAGGTTGCGGACCCTCTAAGGGTCACAATATTTATTTGATTTATGTCCCAAAGATCTGGATTCCTTTGGATACTTGCGTGTATTGGACCATAACTTCATGGAGTATGGCCCCAGATTGTGCGAAAAATCGATTTTCTTTTTTTAGCGTGTTCTCCTTCCATCTCATGCAAAATGTAGGCGTATCTTGCTTAGCAACTGCTTGTTGTTACCTGTCAGAGGTTGATCATAGTCATGTTTGAAAATTGGGTTTGGAATAACATGCTATTTTTCCAGTGTGCAAAAAAGCTGATGGATCAGATCTAATTTCGGTCATTTTCCATAGCTATCGATCATGACTGGCATATATGACCAACGTGGAACCTATGATCAAATCAAACTGAAACAGTTAACACCCAAATAATATTTATTATTAAAAATATCTATCATCATATCAGACAACAATAATGTGCTTGTACATTGACTAGTCATTTAAGTATAAAAACAAGTATTACTACTGTAGGTAAACAGTTCATGGCAGTTGTTGGTTAAAAAAAATGGATTGAACAAGTTAATAAAATAATGCTTGTCAATTTAAACTATATTTTATGTTAATACAGCAGGCAGCGGAAGAAGAAAAAACTGAACCAAAGTTAGAAACACCTAAAAAGATGAAACGAAAGAAAAAGAAAACCAAAGAGGAAGGAGGTATAAATCTTTTGTTGACTGAATATTTTAAACACCATATTATAGAATTCCATTGTCTACTAAACTTAAAGAAAACTTCTTGGAATCCAAATATACTAAACAGCAAAAAAAAAAACGTCAGTACAATTTCAAAATCAGAGAGGCACTTTAATCAAATCATTCTAGAAAACGACTTATTAAATTTATCAAGGCAATTTTTTGTGAACAGTATGTTGACACATTAGTGATTAATTCATCACAATTCCAAGACATTACGGGAAGGTTTAGAGTCTGTACACAGTCTATACATCAGTATCTGGTGTGTCCACTGCGAGTGCCAATAACAGCAGCGCAGCATCTGTACATGGAGTGGGCCAGACGATTGATGAGAGCCTCAAATGCTTATAGTTTTTAATTGACAGAATCCAATTCTATTCCAATAGTACCCACGACACTAGGTGCCACATTCAGGAAAGTCATCAGTATTCTTCTACTGAATGATGATCCCAAAAAATCTTTTAAAACATTACCCAACATACTTCTGGGGTCTTTACTGCTTAGTATAGAATTGTAATAATCCTTAACATTGGTTCAGTAAGTTAAAATAAACACAACAGTTCTATGGAAAACAATTACTGTATTTTAATCAGAGCTCTGTTTCTACAATGATTATCGTCTTGCTGTTTTCACACAGATACATGTATTTAAATATCGGGCCTACAGCACCACTGCATTTGATTTAGGTATAGAGAAAAGGAGAAGATTTTGGTATGAAATAATGAATCGATCTAGCTTTTACTTTCAAATTACATCTTGATTATATACCGGTACAGTGTTTGGCACTAGTTCCTATCCAGTGAATTTGCAAAATATGTCAAGTTTGATATCTGTGAAATGTATTATTGTAATATCTTATAATACAGAAGAGATCTGGTTTATTTGTTAGCTACTGAAATTAACAGAACTTTTGATAGAATATTGAGAGATTTCTGTTGATAATAAGTTTGCAATGAAATGTATATGTATGGTATTTTTCTTTATAGAAACTACAGCACTAGGTACAGGAGAAGGTATTGAGGAAGAACAACAACCACTACCTAGAGAAATACAAGATGAAGGCAAAATATTAGCTGTTACAATCCATAGAACAGATAAATTAAAGAACAACTTTAATATCATGCATCCTTTAGTACGAGTTCATATTGTTGATCTAAATACTGGCAACTATGTACTTAAGCAACATAAGTAAGTTATAACATTTTTGGGTACATTTTGTGTTTTATAATAAGATTAATACACATATTAGGCATTAAAAAACAGACTGTGCTTTGTTATAGAATTATTAGACAACATGAAAACATTTAAAACAGTATAATATGCATTATTATAATAATAAAGCTGATCTTATTATATTGTTGTGATAAAGATAGAGTTGTAACATTATATTGTTGTTGTTATTATTACAGAGATAGAGTTGTAACATGCTATTATTATACTGCTGTTGTTAATATTACAGAGATATTGTTGTAACATGTTATCATATTTGCTTGATAAGGTTCACAAAACCATCACCGAAACGTCGTTTTAATTAAAATAGTAATTGTGTTCATATTATGTTTTGTGTTTATTATGTTATTATATTGTTATTATTACAGAGATAGAGCTGTAATATGTCATTATATTGTTGTTATTATTACAGAGATAGAGCTGTAATATGTCATTATATTGTTGTTATTATTACAGAGATAGAGCTGTAATATGTCATTATATTGCTGTTGTTATCATTACAGAGATAGAGCTGTAACATCATATTTTGAAACTAGAGTAGAATCTCTTGAACAGGTATTACCTGTAATGACCCAACCATTTGACTTTCGTCAAGAAAAGTAAGTTGAACTATTAATGTATGTACATATATATATACATGTACATTGATTTTGGGATTGACTGGTTTCACCACATTATATTGAACTCACTTTATCTTACACAAGCTCTTCAACTGAATACATTTCAGAGCCACACAGACCACTGCTTCAGACTGAAACTTGACTTTTATGAAACCATGCTGTTTATTATTTATGAACAAGAAAACCATTTTATGATTGTTAATGATCTATTATTAATTGTAGAAATTAGTCTCTGATATATTTTCACTCTTTACAGGTCAACCCTTCCAGTTTGGGAAGAATTATTAGTGTTTAATGAAAACTTTAATTACTTTGTACAAGATAATCCCAAAATTATTGTCTTCTTTGAGGTGAGTGATTAAAATTATTAACATAAGATTGAAGGACCAGTCATTTTTAATTTAGTTTTTATACGACCACATTTCCATTTGGGCGTATATTGTCATCACCTCCGTCCATCCATCATCCACAATTTCTTGTGAACACTCTACAGACTGATTGTTGTGAAATTGATATATGTTTACTTTAGTGAGATGAAGAAGCTTATTTAATTTCAATAATTTCCGTTAATTTCTTCTGGAGTTATGGCCCTTGTTTCACTTTATTGCACCTTGTGAACAATCTAACGTCAAAAATTATCATCCGATCTGTATGAAATTTATGTGCTTCCTTTAAATTAGTGAAATGAAGAAGCCTATTGAATTCCAGCAATTTCTCTTAATTACGTCTAGAGTTATAGCCCTTGTTTCTCTTTGTTGAATCCTGTGAACGCTCTAACAACAAAAGTTACCATCCGATCTGTATGGTATTTATAGCCCTTGTTTTACTTTGTTGAATGCTGTGAATGCTCTAACGACTAAAGTTATCCAATCTGTCTGAAATTTATATACATTTTTTAAATTAGTGAAACGAAGAAGCATATTGCATTTCAGCAATTTCTGTCTAAGAGTTATGACCCGTGTTTCACTTTGTAGAACCCTGTGAACACTCTGACAAAAGTTATCATCATATAAATTAGTGAAACAAAGAAGCCTATTGAATTTCAGCAATTTCCATTTATTACGTCTATAGTTACAGCCCATGTTTCACTTTATTGAACCTTGTGAAAGCTCGAATGATGAACGCTATCTATCATCTGATCTGTATGAAATTTATATGCATCATTTGAATTAGTGAAACAAAGAAACCTATTGAATTTCAGCAATTTCCTTTAATTTCTTCTGGAGTTATGACCCTTGTTCCACATTGTTGCACTTTGTGAATGCACCAACGACAATAGTTTCCAATAATTACTTCTAGAGTTATTGCCCTTGTTTAACTTTGTTGAACCCTGTGAACGCTCGAATGATGAAAGGTATCATTCGATCTGTATGCATCTTTTAAATTAGTGAAACGAAGATGCCTATTGAATTTCAGCAATTTCCAATAATTACTTCTCGAGTTATGGACCGTGTTTTCCTGTGTTGAACAATGTGAATGCTCGACGACAAGTCATCACCTAATCTGTATGAAATCTAATGCATTATTTTAATTAGTAACATGAAAAATGCTGTCAAATTTCAACAATTTTTGTATATTACTTCCAGAGTTAAGGCCCTTGTGTCACTTTGTAGAACCTTGTGCACTCTCAAAGGACGAAAATTATAATCTAATCTGTATGAAATTGTCTTGTAAATGCCCCCCATTACCTACAAAAGATTAAATATGCAACAACCCTTGTTGACGGCTAGGACGATTTAGCTGCTGTGTGCGTATGTTCCGTTGCCTAGACCTATCTTTGTGGCTTGCAAAAGAGTAAATGTGAAGGGGGACTCAAGCATCTATTTGACCGACACTTATTTGTCTGTTGGTTCATTATCAGGTATGACACTCAACTAAACAGCCAAAAATATTGAAAATGCTGAACTCAGATTTTAATTATTGTCATTAAATCTGTATAATATAACTGACATATGTATAAATATATATTTCAGTTATTAGATTTTGTAAGTATGAATAGAGCTAGTCAACAGTACAACAATGTGAAACAAGCTGGTGGATGGCACAGGATAGGATGGGCATTTCTTAAGGTAATGACCATGATTCTTCTGAATTGGTGTTTACCAACCTGTCCACAGAAAATATTTTGCGGGTGCTCAGAGTAAAAGGGCTTCATGGAAGAAAAGGGGGTCCGGGGAAAGAACTAGTTAAGTAAAATAGAGTATGGGGTATGTGTTTTGTAGGCTTCAGCTATTTATTTGCCAAATCTGTACAATACTTCTATTCTTAATTAATTTGTTTTCCAAAATTATTAAAGGTTAAACTTTGATAGAAATTTAGCACAGATTTGCCTTGTTTGTATTTTACATTTTGAGAAAGTTACCTAAAATATCATCTGGTTATGGTTTAACCATTGTTTATATGTAATGATTGTTTTAATAGATATTAGGAGGTAATGAGAAGTTAAATGTAGACAATAAAGTACGTTTACAACTGTTTGAACCACCCTCAAACTTTAAACCTAAAGCTGGTCAAGTAGAGGTAATCATTATATATATTGTCTTTAAATTTACTAATAACTCTAATTTAAAAATATAAGATTAACATGATGTTAATAAAATATAAACACATTCTGATTCTTATTCTTGTTTCAGTCTGTGGACCAAAGCACAGCATTTGAAGTTCTAATTGAAATGCTGATCCTTCCATCTCCCATAGCGATGCAGTATAATTTCAGTGATTTCTATCTCCTTTCTAGATGGGGTAGTTATCATCCACGAAAGAATTAACTTAAAAGATCTTTAACTCTTTAAACCCGAAACCACTTAAGATAACAATGTCAATATCCCGACTTGCCAGTTTTCCAACCAGTCATAATGCATTAGGAATTCAGCACTGAACATGTGTTTTGTGTAGCAAGGGCTTTCCCCGCTTCACTCGCAGACACAACTCATATATTCCTGAATATATTGTTTTATGGTCATAAATGGCAAACAGACCTGTAACAGTAGACCAGGCACTGGCTAGAATACTTTATGGTGGTTATGAGGACTTCAGTAATGTTGATTACAGCATGTTGTTGAGAGTAATAAAATTTTGTGTTGAAATCGGGTTTTTTTTTGTTGTTGTTTTTTGTTGTTAACTGTGGTACTATGATGACAAATATTGCCTTGAAAAATCATATTACATCTATATGTATATTTCAGAACTATTTTTCATGGTAGCACATGATTCATATTCCCTTTGTTGGCACTTTGGGTGATTGGCAATTTTATGTTTTGCCATTGAAAATTGTCAAATTTTGTCCCATTGGCCAGAGGGGAGGGTCATTTACAGTATATATGCCAGGGTTCAAAGGGTTAAGACTTAACAGACGAATCTATCGGTGCTATTTATGATTCTCAATAACATTTATCAGGGTAGTGTACTGATTATTGAGCTTATGGTATATGTTCAGTTTCAGCAAGAAATCTTTAATAGAGTTACTTCCTTATGACTCAGAAAATATTAACCAGCAGTAATCAATCAGGACATGTAGCAGTATCTGAAACCCAAAATATTATTTTTATATGGCCTTACTGTTAATTTTCTTTCTGTCTGTTCACAGATCTATCAGTGGTGGTATAGTGCTACAAGAACACCATATCCATCTACATTATATGTTACATTGAAAGGTATAAGTGCTCCGGATATGGTTGAACCTGCCTCTAGATCTATGTTTCCTACACAAGAGGTTAGTAGTATATATCAGCCTTTTATTTGGATAATTAAAATAGCATTAACACAATGCACTAAAATGCCTGGATGATAATTGATTTAGCTAAATGCTAGATATTTATGATTGTCATATATTTAATTGTCATATATTTGTGGAAAACTGTTACCGTCAGTTAAATAGTGGTTATACTAACAAACTCAGTATTGATTTTGGAGGTATAAAATCTTTATTTGAAATATTATTGTTACATTATCTTTTTAAAAAATAATGTTTATTTAACTAAATTGACAGGAAATAGGAAAGATGACTTATGAAGATTTAAAGAAAAGTATGAACTGGGGATCAAAGACTAGGCTAGTATCTTTATCGTCTATTTTAAACATGTTTCGTGGATCATTATTAGGTCATCATTTCAGGCTCTTAGATTTGTTTTACCTGAATGTATGAGACAGTATTTGTAATGATGTGTAAAAATCAAATTATGAACTCAAACAAATGAATTATTACACTTACAGAACACCAGCCATTGAACCTGATGTTTTTATCTTTAGGCCAGGGTTCTTAATCCATTTTGAAATGAACCGGCCAGAATTGGGTCAAATGAGGTCCCTCTAGGAACTGGGTTTTAAAATTTTAAGTTCGATAATGAGCATTTTCTGCTCAGGGTAAGCAGAGCGATAAGCAATTTGATTGGCAGAGACTTTGGAACACATTAACCATCCTTCTAATTGAGCTAGAACGTTCAAACTTGGTGTAGGTGTTTATTAGGCAAATGCCTTGATGGAGTTTGAAGATGAGCATTTTCTGCTTAGGGTAAGCGTAAGCAGAGATAAGCAATTTGATTGGTTGATGCTTTGGGACATGATAACTTTAGTTCTAATTAAGTGAGAGTGATGAAGTTTGGTGTATGGTTTTATTCAATACCTTGACTAGTTCAATAATGAACATTTTCTGCTCAGGGTAAGCAGAGCGATAAGCAATTTGATTGGTCGAGACTTTGGAACACAATAACTCTCATTCTAATTGAGCTAGAATGTTCACACTTGGTGTAGGTGTTTATTAGGTAAATGCCTTGATGGAGTTTGGAGTTAGAAGATGAGAATTTTCTGCTTAGGGTAAGCAGTGATAAGCAATTTAATTGGTTGATGCTTTGGGAAACGATAACTTTAGTTCTAATTAAGTAAGAGTGATG